TAAAAATATTTTCTGTCTTCAAAATGACCTGCAAAAGGTTGATGAGTCATAGAAAACAAATCAATCAATTGGAAGATATGGATAATATTCTTTTTTTTTTTTTTTTTTTAAAGAAAATCTCAATTTTTCTATTTAGACATTCTTCTCTGATTAGTTCTATTATTTAAACAATGACATTTTGTAGTACTTTGATTGTAATAAAGTCCACATAGTCATCAATTGATGAATACTAATCATGACAAGAATATCTTCCAGCTTTGAAAGTTTTGATTTTGATCAAATGGAATCTTTCATGGATTTGTGTGTAGCAAGATAGTTTGTAGCAATAAAGCTGATATTTTGTGGCATGTGCTTTATGTGTGCCTACTTGTGTGTGTGTGTGTATATATATATATATATATATATATATATATATATATAATTTTATTTCTTATAAATATATATTAGTATAATTCAGGTGGTATTGATGGATGTGTGGGTGGTGCAATGGATAGTGGCTGGGAATGAGAAATCCATGTTGAGTTAATACCTGTTGAGTTTTACATTCACTTACACACAAATATCCCTTTCTTCTCTCCTCAGCTATAGGTTAAATAGTAGGACTTGTATCTGGAAAAAATCATTATTGCTAAAAAAAACTGTTAATGCAATATTCACTCATAAAAAATAAAGAATTATTTTTACAATCCAAAATGATCCAGGTTTAAATAACCCCACAAAGGGTTGATAAGCTGTAAAAAATCAAATCAATAAAAAAAAAGTCGGATATTGATCTAAAAGACTTCAAATTAAAAAATATTTTCCCCATTTCAAAACTCCTTATGTTAAAGGCTCCTTGTTTTCATCATATATTGTTATTCAGGTATGAAATAAATATTGTATACACTAATGAGCCTTGTCTTCTATAAATTAAAAGTGAAAAAATTGTGATATAAGAAAAGTCTTTTTTTTTTTTTTTTTTTTTTTTTTTTTTTTTTAGTTAAATATTTTAATGTTTTTGAACTTAAAAATCTGCAAAAATTGTGCTTGTCCTAAATAAACAAACTATTTCTCTCTCTTTTTCTCTCTCTCTCTCTCTTCTTTTTTTTTTTTTTTTTTTTTTGGTGTGATTGAAAGTCCTGCCATTTAATGGAAATGTCTGTATCCTCTCAAGCTGGACATCATTCACTCCTGACTTTGATGTATTTTATTTTTATGAGAATGTGACATTTGTAATGTTTAGCATTATCTATCAGATAAACAACAGCTTTTTCAAGTCTGTAAACATTTGCTGACCTGGTTAAATCTGGTGCAGAAGATAATACTTCCTTGTGAAGGACTCTTAGTTCAATTGTTTTTGAAATTTAGTCAAGAAAAAATATTTAATCTGATTTTATAGCAAGGAATAATATTTTTCTTCTTTTTTTTTTTTTTCGAATATGAATTCATCTCTTCTCTTAGCTATGGGTTAAATAGTAGTACCTGTATCTGGAAAGTCATTGTTCTTGCAAAAAAATATTAATACAATATTAAAAATAATATTCTTACAATTCAAAATATGTTTTAGTTTTAAATAACCTATAAAGGGTTAATAAATTGTAAAAAAAAAACAAATATACAAGTCCTTCTTCCAAAAATTACTTAGTAAACAGACAAGTATAGTGTAAATCTCTCTCTCTTTCTCTTTCTCTCTCTTTAGGTAAAAAAAAAAAACATTTTAGTCGAGTAAACTAATGATGGTTTTTACTCTGTGTTAGCATAAATTTTAAAAATAATAAGGAAAGCTTAATTTTGTCTGACATATATTAATGAATCAAAACTTGAAAAAGTAGGCCCCTTTGTCTAGTTTATGAAACTGTAAGAAAGCAACCTTCATTAATGTGTTTGCTAAATATTGCTTGGTACTGCATGATCCATATAGATGTTGATGTGCCAAAAATCTTATGCTTAGATTGTAATGATGTGTTCATAAAAATGTGTAAAATACTAATAAAACAGTCATATTTACTATACTGTTATGTATTGCATTACCCATATAGGTTTCAATCTGCCAAAACAATATGTGAATTTAGTTTGACAAATGTCTTTAATATTAATCTTATGCCATTTCTATTGAGCTAAATGTAATTAGATATGTTTTTACTAGAAACTCAATAGTTTAGAATTTATATTTTTTTTATTAGTTTCTTTTATTCTATTGTTACCTTTTGTCACAATGCTCTGGTTATTTTTTAGTTTAAATCAATTGATATTGTAAGAAAATTTAAGATGAAAAAAACTAGTCAACAATGAATGACAATGCTTCATCTCAGAAATTTTGAAAACTTGAGAATTTATACATATTCAGCATGATGTAAAATAGAAGGCATTTTTGTTTTTGATCCATTTAAGAAAAGAAAGAACAAAGGAAACTGAATTGCTCTTTTGTTTACTGAAAATTAACCTTGGACTACACAAGACTTTAAAGAGTTTGTAAAGGTGATTGTGGAAATTGTTAAACTCAGTTGTCATGAGATTTTTTTTTGTTGTTTTTTACTTTCAGTGGACATTCATTGGCTGAAAAATAATGTAGGGGAAGCCATGTTTACAATGTAGGTCTTTCACTATCATTAAAAGTTCAAGGCCTTCAGAAAGTATTTGTGGCCTGTTCAAAACCTTTCATCAGTTTTCTTTATTGATTTTAATTTTGTTTGTATGCATGTGTGTCTGTTTTAAATTATTAAATCTACTTGTGTTGGATGTAGTTTTTATTAAAGCAGCATTTTTCTTTACATAATTGATAATTTTATAATGCAGTAAATAGCAAAATTCTGGCCAAAAACGTTTTTAAATTTGCAAAAGCACTAGAAATGACTGAAAATTGTTTTTCAAATTTAGGGCAGATAAACATTTATCCTTTAACTTGGTTAAAATTTAATGTAAATTTCTGTTTATATATTTGTTTTGAGAGATGTATCATGACTGTTGGTAGTTAAATTAGTGAATATGAAATTGTTTTCCATCTTAATATTATATTTGACAGAGATTGTAGCAAAATGAGAAATGAAGATAAAATGACCAATATTTAGGAATAGCATAGAATATTGATGGCAAACCTTTTGGAGCACATTCTTCAGGTAAATGACTGACAAAGTTTGAAGTTTGTCAGATCTTGTAGCAGATCTTAGACCAACAAATAAACTTAACTAAGACAAATTATAATTTAGGATACTATAATAATGGCTGTACCTTAAAAAAATGCAAAGCTGTTGGTCATAACATATCTATTAAGTGCTGCTGCTAAATCTCATGCCATAAAGGCATTGGGCCCATGAGAGCCACTTTGTCTCTCCAACACTTGCAGTCTTAGCAGAGCATTGGAACATTCTCTAGCACCAGATTAATTTGCTGGAAGTCCTGGTGTGTATGTCCTTCTAGTGGCTGAAAGGTTGTTACCAGCTTGCAGATGATAGATGTCTATGGATGGTCATCACAAGATGGTAGCATTGTAAATTTGTATATTGATCTGGGTAACCTACAGGAATTCTGAACAGAACCTATCATCTAATCCAGGGGTTGGCAACTCATTTGATCCTGCGGGCCAGATCGTGTTATAATGACGGGTCACGGGCCGGATGAAGGTGGATCAGAGGAAGATAACAGCAGGCTTTTGTTGAATTCGAAAGCCTCGTCTCTCATGTTAAAAATAGTCATTGGTAATCAGGCTCGCAGGCCGGTCAAAATGCCGTAGGTTGCCGACCCTTGATCTAATCTATGGGAATAGACTGTTCTTGTTTCACTGCCCATGTCTAGGGGATATCACATTTAGTTCTTATTTTTAGTACTACTCCATTATTCCTGACCTTGTCTCCACCAAGTACACACAGCTTGGCTCATGGATTGAACTCACAACTATATCACTAAATTCACAAACCAACATTTTAATCTGCTAGGCTATTGTCCTATAGGGCAATAGCCTAGTGTAAATAAAGTTCTTGTGATTGAATCAACTGATTTTTTTCTTCTTTCTTTTTTATGTTTGTGAAAAGGGAATATGACCATGATAACTAGAATTTGTTCCTTATTGGCTTGTGTTTCAAATAATCATTGTATCATATATATATGTGTGTGTGTGTGCAGTATTTAGTGGAAAGGGCTCAATATCCATAATAGAGCTAACATATTCAGTCGCATGGAGATTTGTTTGTGACTTTAGGTTTCTTGATCTTCAGACAAACTTTTTTGTCTGAAGATCACAAAAACATGAAACCTAAGGTCGCAAACAACTCTCCAAGCAACCGCATATAATATATATATATATATATATATATATAAAATATATATGTGTGTTTGTGTTTCAGCTTTTGCAAAGACACTGCTCTGTTCATCTGGGGAATATAAATCTATTGAATTCATTAACAGATATCAGATTTATTATTTATTTTAAATGGGTTACTTAACATTACATATATGATCAATCGAGGGTAACCACAGCCAGGATCATAGGCACATTGTATACTCCCTGATCTTTTAATTAGCTTCATAATATGTGCCCACAATAGTGTCTATTATTCTCAAGAACAAAGAAAATATATAAATTCACTTTCATTTGTTTAGGTTTTATTTCATTTCTAATCCTTGCTTCTAAAAACAATAAACATTGCTGAAGAGTAGTTAAAAAAAACGGTGTCATGGAAAAAAATTGTCTTTTTGACACTGTCTTATTGCAGGCATGGAGGTCCATGTTTACCATATATGCTTTGCCAGTATTACATAAGGTTTTGAATTCAGAGTTGTCTTCCTAAACTAGATGCTACCTAAGGCTAAAGGGCTTATTCTGCTCTACTATTTAACCTATAGCTGGGGGATTCATACCTTTCCCAAGGTGAATGTAATGAAACTCTACTGGAATACGAACTTGGCTCTTCTCAATTTCTCATTCCATGCCATTATCCATTACATGCCCCACACATCCTGGAAACTTATAATATATATTTTTAGAATGGTCTCATAAATTAAAGAACACTTGTTTTCATTTGCAGAATTCACATTGTGGAAACCTCCAATTGTAAGAAAGTTCAGACTATTGAACGACCAAAAACAGCTGGGCTTTCCTTTTCCCCACTGGGTACATACCTTGTGTCTGTGGATGTTGCTTGTGAGTATATTATCATTTTTTTTTTTTTTTCTTTCTTACTTTTAAGGTTGTGTTTTTTTTTTTTTTTTCCCACCTCTCCCAGGTTTTCTCTTTGTAATTTGCAAGAGCAACATTTTCCGATTAGTTATTCACTGTATTTACTTTTTAATTAATTTTTCTTACATGAAGCTTTTTTTTTTCTTCACGATAAAGATTTGCAGTGTAAAGAGACAAATTGAAATTATCTTTAAAATTTGCTATATTGGCTACTGTGCTTATTTCAAAATGCCAGCATGAATATATATTTATACAAGTTTGGTTAAAGGTCGACAAAAGCTCTTTAAGTAATTTTTTATTCTATTTATTTTTTCCAAGTTTCTGGTGAAAAATTTAAATATTATCTAACATCTTTCAGCTTTTGTAAGCCATTATCAAAGAAATTTTGACAGCACGGAGACAAAAGTCTCTGAAAGCCGAAAGTACTCAGACATTGAACAGTTTATATTTAAGTTTTCAATGGAAACCAGGAGAATGGTCTGAAATGTAGAAAAAATATAAATGAAAATATAAACAAAAAAAAATATAAACAAAAAAGACATAAACAAAAAGTATCTTTTAATAAAAAACCTTTTGGTCTTTAACCAAACTTATATCAGGTTTTTCAGAAATTTATGAAATGTTTTATAAATTTGTTTGTGAATAAATACTCGTACAAGGTGTGTAAAATTATGTATCATTCTAAAGCTTATTTTATGCCTTTTCTTTCTATTTAATTTACTTTTTATATGAATTGCATTTTTGTCAATTTTCTGATTTTTGAAGTTAAGATATCAAAATTAATATCTTTTTTTGTTTTTTTTTCAGCTCAAAGCAAAGCTGACAAAGATAAACCCAACCTAATTATATGGAATGTGGCCACAGGAGAATTAATCAAAGGATTCAATCACAAAAGATTGGGAGAATGGTTAGTCTTTTGACTATTTTTATACTCTTGTTTTTGTTGAATTTATAACTAGCATAGAACCCATAAAAAATGATTGGTATATGGATTTGTGTTTCTGCCTTGGAACTTTGTTTATGCAATCCTTTTTCCTCCTGCCAAAATTATTACAATTAACACATGGCCTTGTTGCCTGGCCAACTACTAATATCTTTGCACTCTCAGATGATATCTTTGTCGATTCTGGTTATTTTGTGTTTTCTTACCCAGCACTTTTAGCGACCAGCATTAAGATGGCCTTCCTGTGAATTTATTGTTGACACAATTTGGTTTCTTGAGAAAACATACTTTTTGGGAAATAAAATCTTTTGATATCGAACAGTATATCTTTCAGGATATTTTTTAACTCTTCTTTTCGATTTTCAACATTTTCCTTTCAGTTTTTATGGCTAATTAGTTAATTAATTACCATAGATAAATAGTGTTGCAAAATGTCACCTCAGCATGGAAAGTGGAATGAGACCAGCATGTTCATCTTGGTTGTTATACTGGCAGTTGTCAGTTCAGTCCCTGGGTATGGTAGTGCTGAAAAGTTATATATTCTGATTTAGTGGAAGAAATAGACAAGCAACACAAAGGTGAATAAAACTAGTGAGCACTAAGTATGAAAAGCAGAAGGAGAATAATCTGCCCATGTTGATTGAAGAAAGGTTTTAGTTAGAAATTCTAAAAAAGTTACCAAGTACAATGACAGATACTAAAGTGTAAACTTCAATGGATAATATATAAGTAAAGTGAACATGTTGGTCCAAAGAGCAAAACGTAATGGTGGTTAATTCCTCATCTCGGAAATTTCAACAAGCATTTTTCTTTTCCTATATGGTTATTAGGTTGAAATAATCAGTTTTTATTTATTTTTCCAGACCAGCAGAAGCACATATCCACTTTGGTTCAATGTCTTAACAGAATCCAATTAATTATTCATTGTTTTGTTCTTATTTCAGGAAGCCAGAATGGAGTCCTGATGACAAAATCATGACACGTCTACATAACAATGACGTGGAATTTTATGAGAAGGGAAGTTTTGGTATGTAAAAGAATTTAAATGGGATTCTTTGATTTCCTTGAGTGATTAACAGACTTCTCACTGTTTAGTTAACACCAAAGCTAATATATTTCCTTCAGACATCTCTAGTTTGAAGAATATTTTAATTTTTGACATCATCTTTGTGTGTGTGTATATATATATATATATATATATATCACACACTGCAGTTCAAAAGTTTAAAGCCAGCTCCAGTATTAGCATGGGATGAATTTGACAGAAGAGTGGGGGGGAAAAAAACAATAAATAAGAGCTCTTAGAGCCATTGGAAAAAGAATGGAATCAATTATCAAACTTATACTTTGAGAAACTTTTGCAATGAATGGCAAAACTTTGTGCTGCAGTAATCAAGGCTAAAGG